ACTCCTTAAAAAATAGTGAGGATTAGTGCTAATATATGGGTATAGAGGCATGCCAAAAATTCCCAAAGAAATCATAAAAATGACATATTAAGGTTAACAAAACCTTATTATGTCAAAAGAATATTTATTGTAGAAGACAAAAAAAAATCTTTTAAATGTGCTGAAAATTCATCCTTTTTACAGGAAGTGGCTGCAGGGGACTACTGCCCCACTGATTATGCCCAAAGCAAACTATAAGCAGTGCAAGCTATGAAGAGTTAACCCCACAATTGGCTTATTTTAAGAAGTTAGTCTCACCAAGGCATATGAGATAGCACACAACCGAGGTCAGAATGACTCTTACCCAAATTCTGTTCCCAGCCTAACACAAGAATGCTTTGTTTCTTCTTTTATAAGCCTTGCCTGCATCAACAATGTATGATTACCAGCCAGAAATAGCCCCCTCACCTTAACGCAACAATGATTGTCACCAGTAAATATCAAAGGTTCTGGTTTTCAGGGCCTTTGCTTGTTCAAGCACTGGTCATCCCAGTTCCCCGAGCTCTGTCTCTTTAATTCTAAGTCTTTCTTCTTGCCATGTGTCATAGCACTGAACAGAAGATCAGGATCTTCAGCAGGGGTCTCTGATAAGTGATCATAGTTACCAGACAAGCAGGCTGGACTTGTGAGTTGGAGGTTTCAGGATAGAGGCCATTAAGCACCTGAACAGAGAAGTGAGTAGAGACAGAGAAGAGGTCTGAAGCCTGAGACCAGAAATACTCCATTTAGAAGAGATCTGGGAACATAGATAACAACAAGTAGAACTTAGAATGAGTGTCCCAGAGAAATCAGGAAATCAAGGAGATGTGAGGGGCTTGAAGGCAAGTAAAAGTCCTTTAAGTGAGAGACTGGCCAGGTCAAACATTGGTTGTGGGACAAGCAAGACGAGGACAGAAAATTGGCCCTTGAATTTGGCAATGTACAGATATCACTTATTAAGACAATTTCAACCCCCATCACCATTCCACCACTCCTAGGGCAGAGGAGGTGAGCCAATCCCAGTGCCCAGGAGGAGGGTCCCCCACCGCTGATCCACTCCTAGGGCAGAGGAGGTGAGCCGAGCCACGGGGGCGCCAGCAGCACCCTTGCCCCGTGGAAATGAGAAGACACGTAAGCAAGCCTCAAAAACATCACCTACAGCAACCCCAAAGGGAAGTGAGATGGAACAATCTGATACTCAACCACCTGGATTCCCTGAACTGGCAACAAAAGAGGATCTGGAAAAAATGAAATCAGTAATAATTTCTCAGATAACAGCAAAGATTGTGCCCATAGCACAAGACATGGTTAATAAATCTACAGAGGACACAGATAAAAAATAGGAGATCTGAGGAACATGATGGAATCCCAACATAGGAAACAAATGGAATCCATAAAACAGATGCAAACAGATTTCCAGGAGATTAAAAACTCCATTGAAAGTCTATGCAGCAGAATGAACCAATGTGAGGACAGAATTTCAGATGTAGAAGATAAGATTGTAATTAGTGACCAGGAAAAGAAAAATTGCTTTAAAGCTGTAAGGGACCATTAGAAATCAATCCAGCAGCTGCTAGACGATGCAAAGAAAAATAACATAAGACTGATTCGAGTCAAGGAAGAAAGAGGAGAGAGTGCAGATGACATAAAAAAAACTTCACAGAAGGGAGAGGAAGAGGAAAGGAAAAGAGGGAAAGGAAATACTATGAGAAAAGAAAAAAATGGAAATGAAATCTATGTAAATAGGGAAGGGTGGAGGGGGTGAAAGGCACACAAGTAATGGGGAAAAAAATAAGAACCAAGATATATCATGTACAGGTACAAACACCCAATGATAAATGTAAACGAATTGTATACCTAAAATGTACCAATAAAAGAACTATTAAAAAAAAAAAAAAAGCTTCACAGAAGTGATGGCAGAAAACTTCCCAAGCAGGGGAAAATAACTTGACATACAGATAAGTGAGGCATATAAGACTCCAATTTAGCCTTGATCAAAAAAAAATCTACACATAGGCATATAATAGTTAAGATTCCAGACACCCAACAGAAGAACAAAATTCTACAAGCAGTGAGAGAAAAGAAACAAATCACATACAAAGGAAAGTCCATCAGAATCACAGCAGACTTCTCAATGCAAACCCTCAAGGCAAGAAGAGCTTGGAGTGATGTATTTCAAGCTGTAAAGGAAAACAGCCTCCAACCCAGATTGATGTACCCTGCAAAACTATCTTTCAAAATTGATAGAGAAATAAGATACTTTCATGATAAAGAGAACCTTGGGAACTTCATGAATACCAAACCAACACTCCAAAAAATTTTAGACAATATCCTAGGAACAGATAAAGAGGACAACTCCAGAAAGCCCAGCAGAATGAATCCATTGGGTGTGACAAATTAAACACAAAGGGAGAGATTCCAACAAAAAGAAAAAGTCATGACAATGCTTTTAAAACTTTTAACTTCATCTCCCTAATGAGTGTATAATTCAATCTGTTATTGTACTGATTAGTATTTTTCTGATTCTAGAGTTGCGCACCATTCCTTGTGCTGTACTGGCTATTTATCATCTTCTTGTGTCTACTTTTTAATTGGGTTGTCTATTAGTGAGCTGTAAGAGTTCTTTATATATTCTGGTCATAGGTTATATGCATTGTAAATACGGTCTGTTTAAGGACTACTTTTCATTTTAACAATGTCATTTAAAGTTCTAAATTTTGATGGAATCTCATTTATCAATTTTTTTCTTTTATACATCATGTTTTTTGTATCCCAGGAAGTTCTTGCCTACCCCGAATTCATAAACATTTTCCCTTATAATTTCTTCTTGAAGTTTTATAGTTTTAGTCTTTCATATTTAGGTTCATAGATCCTTTCAAGTTATTTTCATGTATGGAAATAAAGGGTTGAGGTTAATTTTTTATATACAGGAAAAAGAAAACAATTTCAAGTCTAAGGTTAAAAGGAATGAAAGACTATTGGAAGTGGAGATAATGGAGAACACAGTGAGAGGAGATAGAAACAGCAACAACAAACAACTCTACCTGAGTATTTTATGAAAGTAGAAAAAAGAGTAAGAAACCTAAGAACTCTATCTAAAAATATGTTATGAAAGTGGAAAAGATGTAAGAAACCTGAGGATGAAATGATAATGAAGAATATTATTTTTTAAGATATATAAAATTGAAATATATACATTAATGGCAATATTCCAGTGGAGAAATTAATGATACAGATTGAAAGAAGAGAACTCTTGAGATGATGATACTCTGAATCTAAAATAGGATGGAACCAAATGCACACATCAAAACAAGCAATGTTAGTACATAGGCACACAAATGCTTAGGTCATTTATAATGGCAGGAGGTGAGACTGAACTATATGGGTGAGTGCAATGATGCATCGATCCATACAGGCTAATAATTTGTAGAGTTCAATTTTTTTTCCCTCAGTGGAATGGACGGATTGCTTCGCATCATTAATGACATACTTCAGGTCTGTGTTCTTGTTTAAAGAAAGGAAATCTCAGCACTTATTTTTCTTCGCAGATTTTTAGCTGCCCATATGCAGAGTATGCAGAAAGATTGATTTATTCAAGGGTGCACTTTTTGAGTAACCACTAGATCAGCAGAGACAAGAGAGTTCATCATATAAATGAGAGAAAGTACTCTCTCTAATCATAGAACATATTTTGGTAAGGGGTGGAAATTATATGAAAGCAGTGGAAGGAAAAGTGAAGTGTTTGTGAATTACAAAAGTCTCAAATATTTCTGAAATTGAGGAAACAGCTTGAGTAAGCTCAGGATTTAGTACTGAAATTATGGAGAAGGCATAGTTGTTGGTCATGATACATTTTAGGACATGGCCCCAAGAGCATTATAGTCATGGAATTAAACAAGCTTATTAGAAGACAGCATGCCTGATACTGGGACTCTAGGATGATTAATGGGTTATCTAAATTAGTACTGTAATTAGCAATGTAATAGTGAGAAGTTGACAGGAAAGTCAAAGATAAGGTCTTCTGAGACTTGAGCTGGAGATACTCAGGCTCAGCACAGTAACTGGAAAAAGAAAGAGACGTTATGCATGTTTATAACACGCATGTTTATGCATGTTTTTCTTTATTTCTTTTTTTTTAATACTGGGAATCAAACTCAGGGCCTTGCTTTTGGCAGGCAGGCACTGTGCGGCTAAGCTACATCCCTTACCCTGTAAGCTTTTTTATAAAGTGCCAGATTGTAAATATTATTGTCCTCTCCCTTTTATTCCTGTTTCTTCTATTCAACACTTTTTTCACAACTATTCATAATGTATAGCCATTTTTAGCTTAGTATTGTACACAAACAAGGCACTGCATAGATTTGCCCTGCAAGCATAAATCTGTTATTTGAACAAGACAGGGACTAAAAGGAATGCTCTGCAAGGAGCAAAGAACAAGGCAAACTCCACCTTAACTCCAGGAGCTGGGGTAAAAAGAAATATAGAGGATGAATAATCCTTAAGTTAAAACTAGTTCTCAGTCATTTGAAGTTGAAGAGAAGGAAAATACAAAAATTTAGGGAGTCTCCCAAATTTTTACATCAATAATGGTAAAATGAATACGCCTTTTTGAAAAGCTAGGTTTTAATTTGTTTTCGGAAAATACTGAAGATAGAATTTCTACATGGTTAGAATTGGGGGATTTTTCTTCCACAACAATCACCTTGTTTGGAAATTTTATGTCTGTACCCTTATCAAGACATAGTTCACACTATTGAAATATTACTTTCATGAATTTTAATAAATTGATGATCTGTCATGATTTATTGAATGTTTTATAGTCACTGAGTTAAATTGTGAAAAATATTTGTTTGATCTGAAAACATAATAGATGACAGTTGAGTATCGACCTATCTGTTCAAAAAAGATGTTTGCCTTTAGGTGTCCATGTTACTGTCACATTTTCCCACCACCGAGAATGGATAAGTTGCAACAACATCAGGTACCAGTCATGAATGAATTAATTTATTTCAAAGAAGAAAACACATTTGGTGTTTTTATAGGTTACAGAAACAATTTTGGGGAACACACATTCAACTTAGCTGTATACCCATATAATTACTATTAACAATGAACTTATTTATCCAGAAAATAATTATTTCAGAATTAATATTTAACAAGTTATTGCTGTAGGTATACATCCTATGTATGTTAGCTGCCTGTTAATGTTTTATTTATTAAGGAAAGACATTGTAATACTGTCAATGGCAAAATTTCTTATGACAGTATTCTAGAAAATTCAAGATAAGAAATTTATTGGTAAAAATTCTTGAGATTACTACTGTTTTCCTCATAAAATGGAATAAACTCAAATGTAGTTATTTTTCTCTACCCATCTCTGCCAGCATCAAATATTTGACTGGCACTCAAAAATACAATTGTGAGTATAAACACAAAAAAACTCAGAATAGTGAAGTCAAAAAGAGATGAAGATATCTTTGGTACACTGATGGAACTCTTGTACCACTTAAAGGTGCCTTTCCATGTGCTCACTTGTGATGATGATGCATTGCATAGTTCATGAGGAAAATAAATATTTCCACCCAAATTGTAATTCAGTTCATTTTATCTTACCTTTCTCTATGCCATGTCAGGATGGACTTTTCACGAGTTAAAATTTTCTATGATATTTTATTAGTGGTTATCTACTTACATATACAGAATAGCTGTTGCTGTCACTAAGTCATTGTCCATCTTGAAGACCTTTTCCATCTTTACTGAACTTCAGTTTCTCTGCCTTCCCCCAAATCCACAGGGACTAACTCCTCAAAGTGTCACAATAATTATCAATAGTATAACACTTGGTACCTGGATTCTAGAAATGTTTCAAAGTAGATAAATTTACTGTGGAAAAAAATGACATTGTATTGGGGAAACTGCTTTTGAAAAGACTTGGCACTCAAGTGTATAGGAGGGCTTCAATCCCCAAATGCACATTGAGGCAAATGATAACATTACTCAGACAAGCAATACTTTCTCATATTTTTCCTCCTCCAATTGCAAATAATAGCCAACACAGAAAACAAAGAGTATAAAACAAAATATAATATTAAAAAATAAGATTAACAACATAAGAGGAAAATTTTCAGAAATAGCACATTCACAATGTGAAATGTTGAAGGAAATCCCTAAGTATAAGAACCCAAACAACAAACTTATTCGCAACAAGAATTATTATGCTGTATGTGGACCTTAAATTGACTATTCCAAAACAGTCCACTTTCTAATGTGGATTTTCTGATGCTTCAAGATTGACAATATTTTAAAAATATATACATATTTTACTATAGATTTTCTTTTAGCCAATTAATGTACTGATTTATCAGTCTATAACCAATTTTAAATTCCAAAAGGGCAAATGCTCCATGGAATCCATCCTCAATATGTTTATGAGTCACTTGAACACCAGCATTCCGAAGTCTGGTGACATACATCAGTCCATCATCTCTTAAGACATCACACTGACAAGTGAGGACAAAGGTCAGGGGTAAACCACGCAACTTGCTGTCATCTGCCAACAGAGGAGCTGCCCTCACATCTAGGATCCCAGGGTATTTTTGAGATAACTCAGAACTACCATAAATTGGGTTGTTATAAATATGTCCTTTTCTAAATCTCTCAGGAAGCAAGGAGCTCCAGTTAACAAACTTGAATAGATGACTTGATTCTGCAGATACATGCTGGTTGGAAAGCATGGCTCTCTCAAGTGATCTGTCTGTTGTAATATATTCACTCATGAGCCGGACCAACAGCGATTTGGACAGAGTCGGCATATGTGAATATTCTCTGTATGACGGAGAATCTAAATCAAAAGCCTGAAGTGCAGGATAAATTAAAGACTGCATCTTGACTTTGATCTTCACATCTGGGTCTTGTAATTGCTAAAAAAGAATTGAGATGATTCTAGCTTATATATAAATTTATAATCTAAAAATCCTTAAATACTAAACCAAACATACCATCTCCATAAATTTAAAATATTCAAAGAACTAGATATTTCTTTCTAGAACTAGATATTTCTTAAAGTATACTTTTAACTTAAAGAAAATCATCTGTCCTACATTCCTTGTAGAAAATGCAAAAAGGTCTAGTTAATAATTGCTAAGTCAGTGTCCTATTGTTGCTTCCAAGAATGACATCCTGAAGACTTTTGTAAATTGCCCTCATTATTTTTTGGTTAATATAAAAGTTTTAAAAAATATACTAGTACATCAATAGCCTCTGTGATGGAGAAGAAGCTTCACTGAATAAGGATTTCTGGATTCTCCAAAGGCACATATTACTTTAAAAGATATGGACAGGTTTTCTATGGGAAGCATTCCATTAAAAATGTTCTTTGATTTCAGGCCTAATGTACCAATATTTGTAAAGCTCAGTGGTCAGAAAACAGAAATGTACAACTATCGGAGTAAAACAAAAAGTGATCCACTAAAACATTTTTTAAAATACATTTTAATTTTATAAAATATATATATTTAAATGTATGTTTATGATATTAAAATGTATATTACAATATAAATACATATGTAACTTGTAAATAAAAGTAGATATTGAATATCCCTAAATACTTAAAAATTATAGTATTTATCTAAATTTTAATGATTATGTTTAAAATAGACCATTTTTAGAGACTCTGTAAAGATAATTACATTATCAATTATACATTTTGATTCTTATTTACATTTTCAGTTTCTCAAACCAGAGAAACTATTCAGTATTTACACATGTGTCCTATTTATTTCACTTAAGAGTATGGCCTCAATGTGCATCCATTTAGCTATAAATGACTCTAGTTATTTATTCTTTATGGCTGAGTAGTACTCCATTTTATTAAAAAAAAAACCCACATCTTCTTTGCCTAGTCTCCAGAGAAAAGGAAAAAATGGAAACAAAGTCTTGCTAAATAGGGAGGGGTGGAAGGGTTGAAGGGAGGGCAAAGGAATGGGGAAAAAAATAAGAACCAAGATAAATCATGTAAAGGTACACCTTCTCAATGATGAATGTCATCATATTGTATACCTAAAATGTACCAATAAACTTAATGAAAAAAAAAGATCATTACAAGTCCCAAGGTATTTTTTTTTTTTTTTTGGTACCGGGGATCGAACCCAGGTCCTTGCGCTTATGAGGCAGGCAGTGGAACCACTGAGCTAAATCCCCAGCCCTTGCCCCAAGGTATTTTTAAAGTAAATTTAGGCATGTGACCCTCAGAACAAGACTGGAAGGTTCAAAAGGTTCATTTTTTCCTTACAGATGAGGAAATAGATGCATAAAGAGATTAAATGGACTGGCAAGATGACATTTTGAAATGACTGGATCTCAAGAAAATTCAAATCCCTGATGTTTAATACAGTGATTTTTCAACTGCATTATAAACCTCACAATAGCGATTAGAAATCTTTTCCAAATTTCAATAGTTGCATATTTTGATTACAGGAATGTCCAAAAGTGACATCCTTTTATTTTGAAATGTTATCAAATATACTCTATAAGCTAACTTTTTATTTAAAACAAGTATAAATGAATATAACTAAAAAAACAAATATTGGACATTACATTTCATTAAATCCAGATTATACTTAATCAACTAAAAAATCCAAACCTCTTCATTTTCAAGCAGTAAGCAACTTTCCCTCCACTACTACATGAGAAAATGGTTAATATTTTAACAATCATACTTTTGTCATGAAATCGAATCCATTATATGTATAACCTGCAATGCAAAATGCTATTTATCATTATTGATTTACTGTCATTATTTAATAATAGGTGAAGTATCTGATTTTACATACATATACAAATAAACATTTTGAATTCTTTGTATTTCTTCTTTGTAAGTAGGAAAAAAATCTGAATGTGCTGATAATTTCCTAAAAGCAATGTGATTATTCTGGTAATAGAGGAATACTCCATTTGAGGTTATTCAATGCATTTGAATTTCTAAAGGGTTAAATAGTAATTTTTTTATCTCATTGTCTCATTATAATATTTTACTGACACATATAATAGTCTTACCCAGTGACTTAACTAGAGAATTGCTGATAGATTAAGAAAAAAAGTCTGTGACAAGACCAAAAATTGATATTGTGATGTAAGAATTTTCAGAATATTATCTTTAATATTTATAAATTCTACCATTATATTTACATATATGTATTTGGATCTGTTTATAGGTAGACTATCAAAGATCTCCATTGAAATGACAAGTATCCTACCTGCTGAGTCACTGCTGCAGCTAAATTTCCACCTGCACTATCTCCAGAAACGCAGACTTTTTCTGGGTTTATGCCATAGCTTTCAAGAACATTTTTGCTTAAGAACCACCTTAAGGCATTATATACATCTTCAAATTGTAATGGGAAATGATACTTAGGTGTTAATCTGTAGCTTTGGAGAGAAAACATGTCAAGTTTAATAAATCAATTAAAGTGTAATATACATGCCAGAAATGAACATATTCTAAGTGCACAAATTCTTGAATTCAAACTGAACATAGAGTACAACCTAGGTAATGAAACTCAATACTACCACACCCAGTAGTCTTCTTTTTATTGGCTGCATGTTCTGTAGCTGATATAGCAGCACCAATTAATCTTGGCTGCTTTTGCCCTTAAAATAAATGAACCCAAATACAATGTACAGCTATTCTGGATTATATTGTTTATTTTATTGTTTGAGCCTCATACACATCGCTGTGTGCTTCTGGTGCCCTCTGTCTTACTCCACTATGTGAGTGCACCACAACTCACTTATTTAATAACATGCTGATGGGCTAGCCACAGAAGGTCAAGTATTATGTGACTCCTCTTATATGTAGCATCTAAAATGAGCAAATCATAGACTCAAAGACTAACATGTTGATGGCCAGAATCTGTGAAGAGGGAGAAAGTTAATAATCCAAAGATTCAGTCAATAATATGGATAAATGGTAGAGATCTGTCATATAAATTGTGTGTATAGTCAACAATGATGTACTCTGCATTTAAAAATTTGTTGAGAATGAATACTATATTAAATATTTTTATCAAAGCTAAATAAATAATTAGTAAATAAATAAATACATATTTTCCAACTTAAAAATGCTATTGGGATTTGGGCTGTTGGCAGTCTTGGGCTTTCAAAGACAATGCTGATCTGGATATATAGGTAAGTTAATTAGATATCTTGTTGGCAGGTAGACAGGGCCTCCCTTAAGGCACCAGCCCTCCAGGAGCCAACACAGCAAGGAACCAACATGGAGAAAAACTGAGGCGCATTCATTGGCTAACATTATAAAAAGGAAAAGAAGTACTAATTCACCTAGAGATAGATAGCAGTGATTGATATTCTAAATGGGAAATTTCTTGTATATGACTTGTTTTTCCATTTGATCCACATTACCTGAGTGACTGTACGTGTAATCTTATTGGTGGGTCATGGTTTTGTCCCACTTCATGCCCACCTTGTAAATTTCCATTGGGTCTTACAGCTTTGTCCTGCTTTGTACCCGCCTCACCACATGGCTTTGCTGTATAAAGCATCTTTGAAAAATGGGGTTGTTAGGCAACTCACTTTCCAGTCCCCCTTCTGTCTCTCTTAGGCACAAGCTTTCTTTCTCTCAATAAATTTTTCCTACTCTTACCTCGGTTGTTCCTAGAATTCATTCTTCGATTTTAGAGAACAGCATTTAGGATATCTAGTAGGTTTGGGAGTTGCATCTCTTCCCCCTATATCACTAGTAGGTGGTATTCAGTGAACATATGGTATTCTGTGATACATATGTACATATGTACATCATTACCTGTGGTATTGATGATTAGAAAGTTAAAATATATGAGTAGTTTTACTTAATATTGTCAAAGAATTTTGAAAAATAATACACCAAATTATTATCAATCAATTTATGAAAGGGTCTGTTATTTTCAACATTTGGTGTTTTATGACTTTTTCATTTTAGCCATAATATCAAGTATAGAAGAATTGCATACTATAATTGATTTATATTTCCTTCATTTATATTAGCTTTTTATATATTTGAGAAATTAAATATTCTTTTCTACTTTTCAAAACTTTTTCATAGATTTCAGTTAATTTACAGGTGTTTATATATTTTTCATAAGAAAAAAGTGCATGTATTTTAGCATTCATATATCTATGCATATATTAAGTAACATAAGGTTTTAATTTTAAAACAGCCACTTTATTGAAATATAAATTATATTTCATGAAATTTACTTATTTAGAGTATGTAGTTTATACTATGATTTTTTAGAAGAGGATTTTTCAGAGTTGTGCACCAGTCACTGCAGTCAATTTGAGAACATTTTCATCAAAAACAAGGAAAAGAAAGAAAAAAATCAAACCTGTGCACATTGCTATTCATGTTCTATTTTTCTCTCCACCCACTCCAACCACGAATATTTCTGTTTTTTTAGATTTGCCTACACTGAGTATTTCTAAAAATGAAATAATGCATTTGATATCCTTTTCTGACTTGCTTATTTTACTTACAGTATTTTCAAACTTTATGCATGTTGTGGCATTTATTTTTAATGACAAGTAACATTCAACTGTATGGCTATATCTAGCCACATATCAGTTGATGGACATTTGGTTATTCCTCTTTGGGGCTTTTATTAATAATACTACTATGAAGATGAAAACCTCTATATAGATATATTTTCATTCTTTTGTGGATATACCCAGGATAGAAAAACCAGGGTCATATGGTAATTCTGTTTTTATCCTTTTCAAGAATTGTCAAACTATTTTCCAAAGCTGCATCATTTTGCAATCCCACTAGCAGTATAGAGGGATTCATTTTTTCTGTATGCTAACATTTTTAAAAATCTGCATTTTTAGTGTAGTCATCCTTGAAAATGTGAAGTGCATGATTTACTATGCTTTTGATACTCATTTCCCAAATGGCTATTGATATTTAGCAATATTTCTTGTGCTTACTGGCCATTTAAATTATAATAGAAATGAAATTATCCAGGTTTTTGGTGTAAGAATTGTTGTTTACCTTTAATATCAGTGTATATTCAAAAATAAGTCATAAACTTGCATGAATATTTAAAATTTTATCACTGAAATAATTGTGATTTACTAGTTATTTCAGTGAATAATGAAAAAACACAGACAGATGTCTCACAGTGTCACTGAACTTGCTATCATTGAAAAAAACTATCATTAAATATAAAGTTAGGGCTGGGAATTTAGCTCAGTGGTGCTGCACCTGCCTGGCAAGCACAACATCCTGAGTTTGATTCCCAGTACTCCTCCACAAAAAAAGTTAAAGTACGAAACTGTGTGCAATGTTAGAATTTTCTTATTACTTTTTAATAATATTTTAATTACTCTCCTTATTTGTGAACACCTAAAAACAAGTATTGAGCATGACTATATTTCAACTTTATAATAATGATTTAACTAGATGAATGGTCATGAATGTGTTAGTTCTTACATTTTCCTTCATTTTCTGAAGCTTAAATTCAAATAACTACATAGTGCTCTGATATTAGTCTATCAAATTAATTCCAATTGTGCAGCCTTTTGGTTCTCTTTTCAAAAATGGACTCTTCATTTACTACTCTATTTTACATTAACTCATTAACTTGGTTGGTATCTCTTTTTTTCAGTGAGCATTTGAGGTATGGATTATTTATAAGGTGATTTTATTGATAAACTACGAATTCCAAGAAACTTACTCACTTTTTCCATTAATTTTATTGGTACATTTTAGGTATACAATATGCTGACATTTATTATTGGGAATTTGCACCTTTACATGATATGTCTTGGTTCTTATTTTTTCCCTTTTCCCCTGCCCTCCCTTCAACCCCTCCACCCCTCACTATTTAGAAAGACTTTGCTTCCATTTTTTCCTTTTCTCATATTTATTCCTTTCCCTTCTTTCCTTTCCTCTTCCCCTCCCACTTCCCCTACCCCTTTGGACCTTGTCTTCCTATTTCATATTATCTATTATACCTTTTAGTTCTTATTTACATTTTCAGTTTCTCACAGCAGAGAAACTATTTGGTATTTACACATGTGTGTCCTATTTATTTCACTTGAGAGTATCGCCTCAATGTGCATCCATTTAGCTATAAATGTCTCTAGTTTCTCATTCTTTATGGCTGAGTAGTACTCCATCTTATTAAAAAAAAACAAACACATTTTCATTATCCAGTCTCCAGTTGATGGGAAATAAGACTGAAGAAACTTATTCCTGAAGACTATGAATTAAAGTGGAATAGCAATCTAATACATGTAACTATGTCCATGGATAATACAATTTAAGCTTATGTGAAAATATTTTTTTATTTTTCCACCTGGCTTATAATACATGCACACATTTTTTTTCTGAATGGTAATTAGCATAGATATAATACTCATTTTAGATTATCCCTTCAGTGTAAAATGAGAAATATTTATTTTTGGCATAATCATGCCTCAGCTACTCAAGAAAGATGAGAGAATCTTGATATGCGAGGCATCTGGATCTAAAACAAAACAGTACAGATCTTACTTGCATGATACAACAACAGCATCAAGTTTCTCTGCTGTCCACCTTGAGAGGAGATCATAATTATGTAAAGCTGAAATGAAATGAATAAGCCAGGATATTAGTGACAATGGACAAATGAAAGGATGTTACCCCCCAAAAATTGCTGCACTTGTTTTACATTGTGTAACTTCATCATGTGTTGCATACTAAAATAACAGGGAGACATATTTAACACTTATATAAGAAACTACTCATCCACAACTCAGTGAAATTCAGGTTTTCCTTGAACCTTCTATTTGCTTTTTATCCTTTACACCTCTTGTGTATACTTTGTCATTGGCCTTTCTTACCCAACTTCATTCTCGGGAAGACAAATCCTGAGTCCCTCAGAGGTGGAAGGATTAATCTGATTACTTGATGAGATAGTTACACACTGTTAAAAAGACAAATCATCAACATAATCAATGTGCCATCAGATGTATGAGCCAAGGAATTGAAAGCAGAATAATGCTACGATGAAGGCCCAACAATTGTATGGGACAAGAGGACAACCATCTGAATATAAGTGAAATAGAACTATGCCTCCTTAAAAATCTGGAATTTCCACATTTAATGCTTTTACCTGTCTTACTATCCAAAAAGTGTATCTTGCTGAGGCATATTTTTGCTCCTTTATTCTTATCTAGGGATGAAATTCGATGCTGTTCTTATCCATTTCTATTCCTCAACCCACATGCAATTATTTTGCCAGCAAATTAAATCTTCTTCCATCTTATTTCCTCCATGATGATTGTTCATTGATTAGTCAACATTCCCAGTCATCTCTTTTCTAATCCATTTCTATTATTTCATTTATTTTTTAGCCCACAAAATTATTAATATCTTTGGCATAAAAAATGAAATAAAATGCTCTTAACACTCCCATTTAATCTTGTCTTTCTCTTACTTTTTCCTTTTACAACTAAGCCCCTTTAAGGCTAGGAAACATTCTTTCTTTTCCTTATCACTTTTGCTTGCTAGAATATGTTTCTATATAAATATCTATCAACTATTCCCATAAAAAGTTCAGCACCTGAAAGACATTTTACCATCCCACTTACTTGGCATCTTTATACTATTCAGCCCTTCTCATTAGTCCCTCTTTGTTGTTTGGTTTCCTTTCTGTTTTATGACCTATTTGATAACTTCTTATTTTTGGTACAGGGGATTGAACTCGGGACCTTGTGCTTGCGAGGCAGGCAGCGGAACCACTGGACTAAATCCCCCGCCCATGTTTGATAACTTCTTAATGCTTTGCTGGTTGCCTACTCTTCCACTTGATACTAATGTTTGTGTTTTCCAGCGCCCTGTCTTCAATCTCCCTGTAAATCTGCTATCTGTTATGAAACAGTATGTTTATCTCATATCTTAAAATCTTTTTCCACCCTCTCTCCTTCTCTCCCTAATCTCCTTCAGCTTTCCTGACTTTTCATGTCAATTAACACATTTTTCTGTAATATTTCCTCTCTGGACTCATTTAATCTTCCCCTCTGGAGTTAGAGTTCTTAATTTAGACCTCATCCAATCCCCAGCTTCCTCCGTAATGTAGATTCTTCTTACTGAATGTTAAGTACTGTGGAATAAAAGTAGATTAAGTGATTTTTCTTAGTCACATGACTTAGATTTTTTCCCCCAGTATTCACTTCTGAATACATTCCAATTTCTGCTCTAATTCTCTCTACACCCAGAATTTTGCAACTTTCACCCAATCTTGACTACTTTGGTCTATTATTTCCTACATTTATCACTTTGTAATGCACTGTATTACTTACTTATATATTAATTGATTAGATAGTGTCTTCATTTGAATTTAAGCTCCAACAATTTTGTCTGTTCCAAGATCTCCAGGATCTCTCTAAAGTTCCTGGCAGATTTCCAGGCACCAAATAAATATTTCAATAAATAAATCAATACGTTATTTGGTCCTGTAATATCAAATGGAAAATGATACAAGTAGCAATGTATGATTTCTTAAAAGTAATGCAATGAATGGAAGCCTTTTGCCTTTGCAGCTCTGCCTACGTTGATGAAGAAAGGTATATATAAATGAGTAAGAGTGGTTTGAAATTTTAAGGAAGAATAAAACTATACAAGAGATCAAAGCACAAAAATACAAAAGAGTCTGTAATATCCATGCTGAAAAGTACTGTATAAAGCCTTAAGGAAAATCTTTGCAATTTGCCTCAGTGGCAGTGATTTTTCAAAGCAATTACTTACCAGCACTTCCAGAACAGAAGCCACCACCATGTATATAAAATACAGCCCTTCTTAGTGTCTCTGCCTTCCTCTTTGGTACATATACACGGACAGGAGTATTGTCAAATTTTGTCTCAATTACACTGACATTTTCATCTGAAGTTGGAGGAACTTCATTTAATGCTGTAGTAACCGCAAGTAAATCCAAAAAATTGTAAAGTCCCAAAAACTCCAAAAATGTACCCTAAAATTGAAATTAGTACACAACCTTATAATTCAAATTCCAAATCAGAAGAAACTTTTCAGCATTTAAGTACATATTAATATTTAATTAGCACAAATAAAATAAATGACATCCTTATAAAGGAATGTCCTTTATCTTTTTAGAACTAGAATGCAGTGCTTAGAATGCTTGTTATAAAAAAAGAAAAAGCACTTATTTAATTAGTATTCTACAAAATTGTTCAGGTTTCCTATTCATCATTAGAGTTCCAGAGGTGAACAAGACAAATTCTTTTCTCAGGAACCTCAGACTGAAGGGTGAAAGACAAGTAAGGAACTGTTAAAAAAAAACAATAAAAATGCTCCAAGAAATCAGTACCCAGTATTTTGAGATCACCCAGCAGGTGGCAGAAAATGCTACTTGTTAGTTGGAGCCAGCAAACAGAAAAGAGTTTTCAAACTAGAACATTTATCTAATGCTTAAAAGAAAGACCTTCTTTTTACAATATGTCAACAATATGTAAATGGAAAAATCATTCTACACAAAGATGCTAGTGTATTTTGGAGATGAGAGGGCCCTTGTTAATGTCAGGAGATATGGCTATAGAGCTAAATGAATGAGGGGAGACAAGTTTGAGAGTGAAGGAATGAATGGTAGAGAAAAAGAGAGCCAGTCTGCCTGCCTACAGTCTGTACTACCCAAGAATAAGACAGTTTGCCAAGCATTCTACATGTATTAGTCTCAGTAAAATTACCCTAGTTGTATCTGAGATAGATAATATTATCATTATCATTTGAGAGATGAAGAAAGGAGCAGTTTACACAGCTAGGAAGTGATATTTCCTGATTGTTACCAATTGTGTATTAATGCCCCCCAAGCTTCATGCAGTCATGAGTGAGCTTTGTCTGGAATTGATTTATGGTGCAATGCCAGGCTTAAGGGCATTAGAATTGAGGGTGTGAGTGCTAACCAACCTAAGTAATCTGAATAAGATAAAAGGGGCAGAAAGATTCTGTAAGGGTCCCTTGTTGCTTTTGCTTTTTCTCCTGCCATGAACTGTTGCTCTCTGCCACCCTGCCTTGGAGCCAGTCTATTATGGACTGAAACCACTATGAATTGTCAGCCTGATAAACCTTTCCTCTTTAACTTTGGGTATTTGGTATTTTTCTCAGCAAGAGAAAAAATTAACTAAGACACTGATATTATATGTCCAGCAGAAGTGATTCTGGATTTTGATTCATTTATAGCATAATTTTTCAATAAAATATGTGGGTAGAAACTCAATGATTGACAGGGATTTAAAGAAAGGCAGACAAACCAATCAGAAAAAAGCTTAAATAATAAAGGAAATAATTGAACACAATAAACAAAAATAAGTAATTCAGAAATAAAAATGCATTAAATTACTTTTAAAATGTATATCCTTTGAGAGTCCTTAAAATATATTATAAACCAAGATAAGAAGCCAAAATACAAAACTAAAGAATTAACACAGAGGAAGAAAAACTCAAAAGTGAACAGATATATTACTCAAATAAATAATGAAAATAATTAATAGCTAGCTAGACTTAATCTAATAGGGCCAGGCGAATTGGAACTATAGAGATACACCACACTCTGAATTAAATGGAATCCATTATTATCATAGCTGGTGTTTCAGAGTGGGCTCATGCATCCAAAAACTCTGGACTAAGGAAAGGCAGTTTGCAAGGTCCTTTAAGGGCTCTTCTATTTGGGGAGGTCTCACGGAGAGGAGCGGGTGAGCATAATCGGAGTTTCACAGGGGCAGAACTTTGCTAAACTAGTGGAGGTGGGGGATGTTTCACACAATTTAGTTAAAACAAAATATCACACAGGTGTGGGAGTCATCTGTTTACAAGGTAGTAAAGATAACATAGTTGCAGACTGCTCTATCAAAAGGTCACAAAGATAACATGTAGTTTCAGACTCACACAGGATGTTATGCCTTAATGGAGGGGACTCCTAAGGGGGAAGGCAAAGCGGTAGGCAACCACCTGGAATCACTGGACTTTACACAAATGGAGTCAGGTTGGCTATCACAATAACAACAACAACAAAAAAGATATCTCCCAAACTACAGCTCAAGTAGAGCAAGTGTTAAAAAAGATAAACCCCTTCTTAAAATTCTTGATAGCATATTACACACAGAATTAAATTGGGCACAAAGCCATGAAATGGAATCTTATTTCTTCAAATTAAATTGCAACAATATTCTTATCAATTGAAAGTATTTTATGTGATTTCTTGAATTTGTCAATATTGTGTAGGTAGGAGCTTTTTATTTGTTGCTGTCTATGCTGAAAAAATTTTCCTCAGCATTTAGAGTATGGCTAGAACTTTTTCATCTTTCTTGTCTATAACTATGTTTCCTCTTCACAACAGCTTCCTCCATTCATAAATACAGTAGCCCTGTCTACACTATCTTCCCATATTAGTCTCTTTTTCTTTATCTTCTTCAAGTCACTTCTTATCATCTGAAATCATCCATTCACTTAATTCTAATTAATTATCCCCTACCCCACTAAAATATCTATTCTCTGGGAGCAGATCTTTTGTTTGCCTTCTAGGGTTTGACAGAGAGTTGAAGAGTTGAATAAATGAGAAATAAAATAAATTATGTCTACCTGGTTTATATTCTGAGAAGTGAATATTAAATATGAAGTCACTAAAATACTGAAAGAAATAATTCAAAAATATTTCAAAGTTGCCAGAGAGGACTACACCTTTCTTGTTTGCACCAGAGCTGCTCTGGCAAGGAGCCAGCTTCTATGATACAACAGATTCTCCCCTTCTATTTCTGCATATTTTGCCTCTCTGGGGTAACACTGAGTATGTGCCAATCATGCTGCCTACAATTTTTTCCTTGAAAATTAATGACATACCCTTATTTTATACTCTGAAACCTATAGAAGATTGCATACAAATCTATAACCAATGCACTGTTGCAAAGTAGAATGATCTCCAGGTTGTTTACAGAATTTAAATGCCAACCAATACTTAAGATGGTAATTAAAGAAATGACCCTGATCATGATATTAATGCTATCTAAACAAAATAATTCTTTGTATAACCCATGGAAATGGCCCCTCACTTATAATTGTAATGTAAAATAGGAAGCAAGCAGAAAAATCCACATTTCTAAGTACTGAATGATCAAGAGCCATAACACTTATTTTTAAAAGATGAATAAATCAATAAATCAAAAGAACAGAATCCTAGAAATTTAACTTTTCACATCATATGCAAGTTGGAATTCATAAAATTCCATGCAAATCTGAATACATAAAATTTCAGACTTACCAAATGCACAAAAATTTTCAGACGTATGTTGAACCACATTAGTTTCCATGGCTCATCAAAATTACCTGGGAGAGTCCCATGAATATAAAATGCCACAAGGACCACCACAATCAGAAGATACAGTGAGTTTCTTCTCATGGTGTAATTCCTATGCTTCTCTGTCTTCAGGAGCACAAAAGGTAAACTTCCTGGTTGTGCTTAATAGCAAACTTTATTAACTAGTGTGCTTCAGCCTCACCCAGAAGTTTTACTTTCTCTTTTGAATGCAGGGTTACTACTTCCTTTTAGGGCCTGCAGAGTAATCTTGGAATTTCATTGGTTATCCAATGAACAATCATGTTGATCATAAGTCAAAGTTAAATGTCCTGGGCAAGTTCTGTTGATGATTATACACTAATCTTTGTTCCTTTAAGCAAGCATGTGTTAAACGGCAATATGGAAAAAATTCTTTAAGTCCATCAAAGTTATATGTAAAAAACATACAGGACAAAGAATGTTGTATTAAAGTTCATGGTAAACAGAAGAAAGAATGAACATGTTTTTAAAGTGCTGAGAGTATAAGAAATAACCATTATCTCTGACTCTACAAAGTTTACATTATCACCCAGGAGAGAGAAATGTTAGTAGCTAGTTATAATAATTTTTGAGAGAGGAATTATTAAAATAGTAATGATAGTAAAAGGAAGAGTTATAGTGAATATTTATTAATTATCTATTCTATGATCCAGAGCCTATGATGGTATCTCTATCTCTATCTATCTATCTATCTATTTAATCTAAATGACTTTAAACAATACATCTAGTAGATCAATAATAATTTTTTCTCTTTTTTTTGAAGAAGAGTTTTATTAGGGTTCACAATTTCTGAGGTTTCAGTTCATGGTCAGTTTGTTCTTTGCTATTGGACCCATGGTGAGATAAAATGTGATCATGACAAAAAGATATAGAAGATAGCTGCTTAAAAAACGGCAACCAAGAAGTTGAGGGGAAAAAAATGATCCAGAGAGGAAGAGGATGGGGATCAGATATAGTCCCCAAAGCCACAATCCCATGATCCACTCTCTTTAAATGGATACCACCTCTTGTTACCCTATTCAAATATGACTAATCCATTGATGAATTAGTACCCTTATGATCAAATCTTTAAAAAAAAATCCATCAGCTTGCCTTTGGGGGACCATATGTTTCCTTAGACCCAAACTACATCACATAGGAAGTTTCCGAAATAGGTACGCAGACACTGTGAATTAGACATTTTATGATGCTGTAACATGATTCCATATAGTGGATGCCTTAACTGAAAGACATTTATTTCTTACTTTGATGTTGCTTCAGAAATCAAAGGTCAATAGACTCAGTTTGTAATTAGTGCATATGTTAGTTACTTTTCTCTCATTGCTGAGACAAAATAGTGGACACCAAAAGTTGGAGGGGAAGAGGTTTGTTTAACTTACGATTTGTAGAGGTTTCAGTCCATTACCAGCTAGCTCCAAGGTAGGGATGGCAAACAGGCATTGCAGAGGAGAAACAACATGGAACACACAAGGCAGCAAAGGCAACAAGGGAGCATTACCAGTGTCTCCCTGCCCCTTTTATCTTATTCAGACTACTTAGGGTGGGAAGCATTCACACCCTTAATCCTAGTGCCCTTGAGCCTAGCATTGCATCATGAATCAATTCCAGCTTCACACACTCTAGATCAAGCCTATGACCACGTGAGCCTTTGGGGTGACATCCAGACCCAAACCATAACATTCCGCCTCTGGCCCCCCAAAGACTCATGTACATTCCTTTACATAAAAGGCATTTTGTCCATCTCTAAGAGTTGCCAAAGTCCTAACAGTTTCAGCATTGCTGAAAAGTCCAGGTCCCAAGTCTCCTCTGAGATTTAAGGCAAGCTCTTAGCTGCAGATCCCTGTACAAACACTTCTGACATTCAATGGCACAAGATAGACATTACCATTCCAAAAGCTACAAACAGGAGGATTCAAAGGAATGGGATGAAGTAACTCCAAAATCCAGCAGGCCAAACATTAAGTTCCAGAGTTCCACTACCAGCATCCGAGGAAATCTGTGGCAAGTTATGAACTCCAAAGGGCTTGGGTGGCTCTGTCCCTGTGGCACTTCTGGTGGTTGTAGCTCCCATGGCTTCCTTCTGGGGCCAGTTCTGATCCCACCTTGCAATTTTCCACCGACAGTTATGCTCTTGGCTTCTCCAAACTTCTGGGGTCTCCATTACACCTTTGGGTTCACACTTACAGCTTCACACACAGCCTTCTCAGGGGCACACTGCCTGGCCTCCAAGGCCTTCTTCTGAAATCTGGGTGGAAGCCTTCATGACCCCACAACTCTTGCATTCTGCGTGCACCTAACACCAGCACCACGTGGATGAAGTCAAGGTCTGCTGCCAGCTGGAGCAGTAGTAGTCAGGCTTCCTTCTCTCTTGCTTGCAGGGGTTGAGTGCAGGGATCACTGAGCTCTCTGAACTCAATCTCAAGGAAAAAATTCTCTAGGTTGTGGCCATTTTGGGACAACTTCCCTAGGCCGCCATTCTGAAATATGGTGCTCTGGGGCTCTCTTCTCAAAGCAAAATCTTTCACCTTTACAACTCTGAGGCTGCAAATGTTGGAGTCCTGCTGCTTCTTTAGATGCCCTCAGGCCATCTTTTCTATTCTCCTCTTCCTTCTCAGCAATCAAGATCTCCTCTGCTCTATCTTTGCTGTTCACAACTTTACTGGAGCTTCCTTTCTGGCCAAATTTAAAACATTTTAAATCATTCTGCTGGGCTTTTTACTCTTGATTCTCAACATAGATTTGGCTAAATGCTCCCAACAGTAGCCATGCCACTGCCTCAATATTAGACTGCCTTGAAATCTCTTCTGCAAGATTAATTAGTCCACTGCCCTTAATCTAAGTCTCAGGCAAAGTCTCTGGACATTAGCAAAATGCAGACAAACTTTCTGCCAGACCATAACACACATCACCTGGAGTCCAACAGCCAATGCAGTCCTTTTTCCTAGCACAAACCTTCCCAGCCTGGTCTTTATAAGTTTTCTGGTCTTCTGATCTCTGACCAGAATCTCTCATACAGAATAGCCTAAGGCATTCCAGCCCTACTTCTTTAGCTGTTAGCTCCAGATCTTCAAGCAAAGTCTCTAAACATGAACAAAGTTCAGACAAACTTTCTGTCAAGTCATAACACACATCTGGAGTCCAACAGCGAATGCAGTCCTTCTTCCCAGCAGAAACTTCTTGAGCCTAGTCTTTACCAGCTTTATGGTCTTCTGACCTCTGACCAGAATCTCCCATACAAAACAGCCCAAGGCGTTCCAGCTCTGCTTCTGTAGCCAATGGCTCCAGTTCTATCCTAATTATTCCCCTTCCCACAAGCCAATTCCAAAGGCTTTTGAGCTACATGGCCAGGTAATGTCACAGCAAAGACCCCACTTCTCTGGTACCAAATTTCTGTGTTAGTTACTTTTCTCTCATTGCTGAGACAAAATAGTGGACACCAAAAGTTGGAAGGAAAGGGGTTTATTTATCTTACAGTTTGTAGAGGTTTCAGTCCATTACCAGCTGGTTTCAAGGCAGGGATGGCAAACAGGCATTGCAGAGGAGAAACAACATGGATCACACAAGGGAGCAAAGGCAACAAGAGAGCCAATAATAATTTTTTCACATAAGTGTGTAAAATGAGTTTTAAATTTTTAAATAGCATGTCCAAGTTTCAGAAAAACTTAAGTATTGGATCCAGAAAAATTTAGGTAACTAAGACAGTACATAGACAACTTTTAGAGCAATTTTATTCCACAATGATCTGAATTTGTGTTTGAATGTATGTGTCTACAAAGATGGAATAATAAATCACATTTTTACATTTCTGTACTCTGACATATTTCTGCCAGAAACTTGCAACTAACCATATCTTGAAGGAGTTCTACATTTCTTTAGTGAGAAAGGCCAGGGTAGTGTACAAAACTAGAAAAAAATAGATTTAAAATATGATCTCATAATGATTTTTAAATTATCACTGCAAGTTGTTCCTCATTTTATTTACTTATAGAATTAAATGGAGTGTTCAAAGTGAGTGGTTTATCTTCATTTTATATTACTGAAATCAAATATACTGCTGTGGCAAAATTAGAAAATATTGAGATCCAAAAAGGAAAATAAAATACTTCAAAGCACTTCATGGAATACATTGCTTGAAAGCAGCATTCTGAGAAAATGGATAAAATTTCATGGTTAACTTTGGTACTTTGTATGTATTCATTTTAGAGATAAAAGGAACATAATACTAATATTAAAATGGCTTAAAATTTAATGCAACAAAATAGTGGTCATGCACCATCGTGACAGTTTTAACTTGTGTGCATTCTGGATGATGTCTGCTTGGTCACTCATTTATTTACGGATTACTGCACTCTCTTCTTCTATTGACTTTTTATAATATTTACAACTCCTGAAATGGTTTAAATCTAGTTCATTTGCCATTAAATTTTCTTGTTTGACCCCCAGATACTATGTTTTCACTGCTGAGCAAGTTCCTTCAGATCTTTTCAATAAAGAACACACCAGTGGTCTTTCTTCAAAGAATAAAGTTATTTAAAAAATATTTTTTATTTTAATTAATTTTACTGGTACATTTTAGGTGTACAATATAATGATATTCATCATTGGAAATTTGCACCTTTAAATAATCTCTCTTGGTTCTTATATTTTTCCCATTCCTCTGCCCTCCCTTCAACCCCTCCATCCCTCCCTATTTACAAAGACTTTGTTTCCATTTTTTCAGTTTTTCATATAAATTCCATTCCCTTCCTTCCTTACCCTACCCCTCCCACTTCCCCTTCCCCTTTGCCTCTTTCCTTCCTATTTCACATTATCTATTATACCTTTTAGTCCTTATTTACACTTTCAATTTCTCACACCTGAGAAACTATTCAGTATTTACACATGTGATATAATAAAGTTAATTTCAGTGATAGTGTATGGTTGTCTCTTTTCATTTTCTTAAGGATTAATTGATACTTTCTGCCTACAGAAATGAGAATTCTTTGAACAGAGAATTTAACTGACCAAATTCACAGAGCTAATTATCTTCTTCACCATAATTTTCCTTATTATATGTAGAATTATGCATATCTTCATTTTTTCTTCAGAATAAAACAATTTGTGTTTGCATACATTTCACCAACCATAAACTATGTATTTTTAATATCCTGAAAA